GACCTCCCCTAGACTTCATCCTTCCCTTTCCAAGGCACATAATATTCTAGGCTTGATATTCAATTAGTCAATGACTGAAAGCATTAACACACGTGAAACACTTAGACTAGTTCCTGTCCCATAAAAAGCAATCAGTGAATGTTAGAAACATATTAAGACCAACAACAGCAACAACTAAAAAGTGCATCTTTTTGGCGTCCACAGTTACTGATACGCGTATCTTATCCATCCTATTAGACTTCAAGTCATTTGAGGCAGGGCACACCTCTGTGGCCTCTCCAAGCAGCTTGCTGGAGCCTCCAACTTAATGAATGTCCAGTGTGTATTGAAGGACAGAATGTGAATTTCTCTCCAACATTTTTACCTTCCATCTCATCCACTACCACATATGTGACCCATGTGACTGGCAGATTTTCATCTCGAATAAAATCTCTCCAGGATCCTTCCCCATCTACTGGGCTTGCAGACACAGAGAAAACAGCTCTTAGCCAATTTCAATGTAGGCTTCATGGAAATGAGCCCTAAATTTTGCCTGCCCGAGGCTCCTCTGTGGAACCCTGCCATTGTGGTGGCTGCTGAAAGGGAACCTCCTTTGTGTTCTCCTGTCAGCTTGACCAGGTCCACATTCCAGACCTCCTCATTGGGGGAAGGAAATCAACTTAGCTGTCCCTTTATTCTAAAAGGTAGGGACAGATGGATGACCAAAATCTCCAGAAAGATACATATCATGCTAAAGGCGGCACCTTCACGTTCCTACCACCCCCATTCCAATTTGGGCAAAAGGATGCAGCAGACCACCACGGCACGTGTATACTACGTAACAAACCTGTACATTCTACATAAGTACCCCAGAACTTAGAGTATAAGTAAAAAAAAAAAAAAAGAAAAGGAGATCTATTCAGGGCTCCACATTCTAAGAAAAATTCATAAAGCTCTCAAATACAAAGAAATATAAAGAACCAAAAAACGAAATCTGCTCTGTAACTAAACTTAAAATACTTTTAGCCTGAATGTTAAAGAGTGCTTATGATCAAACAAACATTTCAGGCGCATCATGATGACTCGAAAAGCGTTTCTCAAGATCAAGAGCATTTAATCACTCTCGCTGTGCTGTTGTTCCACTCCCCACCTTGAGAATAGGTGCCAGCTCCTATTCATGGTGCAGTCCCCAACCCCTTTGAAGATGACTTTATCAGTCTTCAGTCTAACATAGGACCGAGCCACACTAGCCACAAGGGCAATGCTTGCTGAACCAACATCAGTTAATCTATCAGGAAGTCACAAGCGGGTGGTGAGGACAGAGTGGTTGAGAAACCCTTGGGGGAGGACTCAGGAGACCCCAGAGATTGCAGAGGATCATTGCTTCAGCAGCTTTGCCGGTTAAACCAAAGTGAGTCCGCTGAGTAAGGTCCCTACATCTGAGCTGTTCTTGGAGACGCTTCATGATTCACACCCAAATCACACAAGATTAAAGAAAATACTGAATAAAATCAAGCCAAACATTAAGTTCAGGGAAAAGATTTTATAGGACAAATTAGAAAAATATTGGTATTGTGCTTCAGAGAAACCTACCTCTTTTCTCTGTCTGGAGGGGCCGAAACAAACTCCATGGCAGATGGAGAGGGAACAGGAGTTATTTTAAGTCAGCTTTCTCTGTCTTCCCCATGCTGGCCGCAACCCCACACTCACACTCACTGTGCTAATCCGGCAGCCTTGGCCAAAACTGAGGGGAACGTCCATTTGTAATAAGGATTTGATTATATGGCTGGACTTGAGAGGAGGCAAATGGGGTTTGAATGAGGGTTCCCTCCCCAACCTAGCCAGAGAAGCTCCTAGCAGCTGGCTGTTCCTAGCCATGCCTGAGAGCTCTGGCCCGGGTGGATTTATGCCCCAGGAAGACACTGGATTTCCAGGGTAAGTTCACAAGTCATTTTATCCTCCAGAAGAACCTAAAGTAAAAATGAAGCTGGTTTTAGAGGATCCTTTCACTTATTCAACTACTGAGTCCCTACTCTGTGCTGAGCGGACTGGTGGTTAAGGAAGGAGGGGAAAGCAGGGATAGGTGAACAAAACAGAGATGAACACAGAACTTGTGCCTGGCAGAGCCACAGGGTATTGATGCCGGCTGGCTCTTAGCTATCATTCTTTAGCTACTGTGGCTTCTAGCACTATTCTTATCACCACCTTTAAAACAAACAACCTTGGTTTCTTCACATGGTAAAACTCACATAGACATTGAGTACAAGTTGTCTACTTGTCTTCTAGACCACAATTGGCCAAGCTTGCCACGGAACCAAAAAGAACACTGAGGGTATATGTACCCCATCCCTTCCCAATGTCTATTACAAAAGCCTGAATCACTTGAATAATAAAAAAGTGTTCTTTAGGTTGCCTCTCTAAGCATCCATTACCACCATGTTCTTCCCATCTTTACAGAAGCAGAGGACAGAACAACAGAAAACAGAGAACATAAGCAGGATATCCAAATAACCACTACTGCCTCTGAGGTACTCTGGGGCCTGCTTTTCTGCACCAGATCCTCTGCTTGCATCACCTCATTAACTCTGACCACAAGCTATGATCAAGGCACTATGGTTATGGCAGGATTATAAGAGAGAAGTGCAGTCAGAGAGCCTGTGTCACTTGCCCAAAGTCACACAGTACAGATGTAGCAAGACTAGGAGTTGAGCTTCACTGTGTGATGCTGGAGTTGAGTCCCTCCCACTTTGCTGTGCCTTTTGCTCAGAAAGAAAACGCAGAACTCAAATCAGAGCCAATGTACACTTATTGACCACATTCAGACGGGTGAATTCATGTAATGCTTAATGGTTGGTATCACCCAAAACTTCTAAGTATCTGATGGCCTTAGGGTCAGAGACAGATGAATGGAACAGATGACCAACTGGTCTGATCATTCCTTATGTTCTCGTCATGGATCAACTGCAACATGGTTCATACTGTTTGGGTTCTCACAAAGAGAATAGAGGGCATTTGTTTGGGCTATACCATGTATGGCATGGCCGAAATCCTAGCGACCACCACCACTTTTGACTCTAGCAACCACTGCCACTTTTAGTGTGTCAACAGAACAGCAGTGGCATGTGTTTACAAGCATCTGTACTCTTAGGAGATGAACAGCATCGTTGGGGTTGGTCTGCTTTTCCAAGAGTCTTTCAGCCGCCCTCTCAGTGGCCAAAGCTCTGGAGAGTACAACAGATGGACTATTTACAAACATACCATTTGCTTCATGGCCAGGAGATATAAAAGACTGCTCGGCAAATATTTGTTGGCAAAGCACTGTGGGGACCAGTTCACACTGTGAGTTGACTGTGGCAAATTTTCATTGACACAGAGAGAAGGATGCTACCTTGGTGACTTCTTACATCTGATTCCATTTCATTTTTCCTTTAAATGATAGGAAGTGATAAATAGGAAATTAATCCATTTACTAGTAGGAGATTCAGGTTTGATTATTTTACTGACTCTGTTCCTTTCCAATTGGGAATAAATACACACTAGGAGCCATATTCAGTCATGCAAGCTTGTAACTTCCCCTCCTTCCAACAATGATGTCAACTGGGCAACCTGGGAATGGGTAACGTGTTAAGACTGTTTTAGACTTCCATATGTCTTTAGACTTAAATATCTTTAAAAAGACAGCAGCTTTTTCAATCGGACTTTTCATTACTTCTGACTTACATTTGGAATTAGCCATCTAGTTAATTTTGTTTTTTTCTGATAAAAAGATTGTTGAAATTGAGTATTACCATAAGTCCCATCTTAAAGCATGCATATGGTACCCACATGATGTGGTCATGATTCCATTAATACCAGGGCGATTAGAGCAAAGTTGGATGATGATGGAGCTCTCACATGAACTGTTTCTAAACGATGATGCAAGCGAGAAGTGAACCGGTCCCCACAATGCTTTGCCAACAAACATTTGCATAGCAGGCACTGCCGCTACTCTCTCATTCTGATGAATGGGAAAAGACGGGTGGCATGGATGGGCGTGTGTGCATTTGTGTGTGTGCACATAGGTACGTGTGTGTTTACTGCTTGCTAATGAAAATGATCTACACTTTCTTAACTTTAAAAAAACAGTGTTTACCGCGTTACTCTTTATACTTCTATATCTTTTTAAAAAATTAGATCAACACACACAAACCCAAAGGGATGTACTTTTTTCACACACTGCAACTAGTCCAGGGGTGGCAAATGCATGGTACCCTCAGGGCCAATGCCTCTCCAGAGCCCACTGGAGGCACCTGTTGGTGGATCAGGGACCGATCTGAGAAGCCTGGCCGCCAGCTCAGGATCCTCCTCAACACAGTGCTCCATGCAGCCTTGCCCAGGGATGTGGGTTGATGCTGTTTTGGATTTATCCTAACCCCACTCACTTCAGAGAGAGTAAAGACAATGTTGAGAGAAAGAAAGTGGCTTACACATCAGTTCACCAAGCAATGGTGTAGGCAGGAAATAGAGAAAAATCTCAGCTGCTTCGATTTAATAAAAAAGCTGTTGAATGGCTTCTATGCATGAGGCACTGGGCTTAAGCAGCGTAATGTGGGGGCAAATCCCATTGTAATAAATTTTCAGAGATCTTGGGTCTAATTTGTTGTGTCAAATTAGAGTGGGATTAAGTGGGTCGAGAGCTGGAGTATGAGTGTCCACGTATTACATACAGGGACCTGTTATGATAGGTTTCATGCTGTCTAGAGTTAAAAACATTTTCCGTATGTTGGCAGATGTGAGACAGCTAAATAAGTAAATGCATATAGACATATGTGGCTTTATATACAAAAGCATGATGGTAAATATATTTATCCAACATTAGGTGTCAAAATACCAGTTATAAACGCTATAACAGTCTTTACAATGCTATGAATTGAACAGCTTTTTAAAAGTGAAAACTGCAGCGAAGTGTCATCATTGTTGAACTGAAGGAAATCTTTTAAAATGATAAAAGAAGAAATGCAGAAATACATAATTTCTCTTACCAGCGGCCTGAGTTCTGGATGCGTCAGGATATATCCATTATTTGTGATTGCAAAGGCATAACCGTGAATCCCTAACTGTAGGAGGAAGCAAGAAAGAAACCTTCATTAGCGTGCTCCCTGGTGAAATTCACAAAGCATAAAGCAGCTCGGCATTTAGTAATTTACAGCTTAAACTTGGCATTCATAACCCTTATCAGCACAATATTTCATTAAAATGAATGCAAGGCACTGATCCCTGACATTTGGTGGAAATGAAGACCTGTCACAGGATAAGCTCAACAAATAGCACAATTCAAAATGTCACATCCCTACATTGGCATCCAAGGGCTTTATTTTGATTTATTTAAAACAAAAACAATTACTTTTTTTATTTAACAAGAAATGGCTAATGTTTCTGGAAAGACCCTATGTTCAAATGCACAGAACTTTATCAATGGAGGTGTCTTCTCTCTGCCTGTAATAAGGAAAGAGGGGTCCACATGCTGCCTCACTCCTAGACCCACAGGGGCCATCTCAAATTGGCTCTCCCCTAGGCTGTCATTTTCCATATTTCTTCAAAGATAAGGTATTCCCCCACCCCCGCCCCAGCCTACACATGAGCCTGGCAACCCTTTTCATATCCTTTCGTCTTCAAATTGTGTGGCTGCCTAGCTTTTCCACACATGCTTCCATCAACACAAAGCCCGGGTAATTTTCTATGCAGAGCCTCACTTAATTTATGTTTTCTGACTAAATGGGACTATGGGAAATAGTTTGTGAGCAATGAAATGTTTTATTAGCTTTAAAAAGTATGTAATCAAATTTAACACTGCACTTATTTAAATAATAATCCCAGCTTTTTGACAATATTTCTATTACACAGTTGACTGCACCCATTGGCTATAATAAATTTACCTACAAATCATTCATGTATTAAAACGGCCTCTGGCATAAAACCCATACAGATCTGTCTCTCTGAAGAAAGAAATTGTAACCCAGTTTTGCCAGAGCAGTGAAAGGGGAGAAAACAAAAAGAAATCCTTTTTTTTTTTTTTCCTGAGGAGTTACTTCACGGTTCTGAGCCCCACTGTTAATTTTCTTTAAATTCTCTGCCACTCACATTCTTGAATATGATACTATTAAATGATCCAGACAACAGAGTTTACAAACCAGGAATGACCCTGTCTGCTTGTTAGCTTAACGTCAAGGTGATGTGAAATTAACTTCAGAGAATTTAACACTGGCAATTAAGTTTCTGTTGCATTACATAAAGCAAATATGCAGGTGGTAGTCAAGGGCAACAGACATCTTCTCTTGGAGTTACCTTGCACAGCAAGTCTTAGTAAGATTCGACTCGAATCTAATGATAAAAGTATATTTCATTATGTTGTGAAAGATAAACCAGAGATTTCCTATCCTTTGAGATGTATATCGTCTCTTTCATCTTGTCTCTTGGAAAAATGTCAGACACCGTCAACACTGCATTAATTACCATATTATGTTTCAGTTTAAGATGGACTAGAGGGTCAAAAAAAAAAAAACTCTGAGAGTTTGGCTTTTTCCATTAAAGGCAAAAATAGTACTTGATTGAAAATTTGAACTCAAAATTAAACAAAACAAATAATATTTTCTAGTCAGCTCATGTATTCAGCACCTTCTTAATGTACATTACTTGGATTCTTCTTGCTGTGCTTGTGAGAAGCAATACTCAAAAGAAGGCAGGACTCTATTTAGGCTGTAGTTTTCTTTTATAGTACTTATTAAAATTATAATAATCAATTCTTGGTGAGGCTGAGTATAAGTAATCAAGACTTTTGATTATTTCATGTCTGCATCCCCTAACAGAAGGTAAGTTCCATGAGGGAAAAGGTCCTACCATGTAGTTAAAAATATATGGCAGGGTGGTTGGGATGGAAAGAAGATGAGTAGGGAAAGAAGAAAGAAAAAAAGATGGAAGCAGGGAAACAATAAAAGAAACTGCATGTAGTGTAGATTCTACACAGCTTAGCTAAACTCTCCGCTCCATCCCCCAGACGGCAGAAGCTGAGCTCATCTTCCCATCCCAGTGTCCTGCCTTCATTATCTGACTGCCATCTCCGTTTCCTCATTGCCCCTTCATGCCTCACCCCACGGCGCTCTGCCTTTGCCCTCCCTCCACCACCAAACATGCCATAGAAATTCTTTCTCTATGGTTGCAGTGGTCTCTTCACTGCCAAGCCCTACAGGATTTCCTCCCCTGAATCTTCCTGCTTTTGTTAGTTCACTGCTTCCTCCACACTATTCCCTCGGTTTCCAGGTCCCATACTCCTCCTCTTCACAGGATCTTTGTCCTTCACTCATTCCTCAAGTACTCATTTTCCCTGAGATTCTGTCCCCAGTAGCCCTTGTCGGTCTTAGCTGTCCTCTCCCTCAATAAGTTGCAGCGACCACCTCTGTGCTGTTGCTCTTTAGATCACTGCTCTGGCCTTAGTTTCTCCCTTCAGTGGCAATCCAAGTATCCAAAAGGGTAGTGGTCATCTCTTCTTGGCCATCCCTCTGGTACCTCACACCCAGTCACGGGCAGTTCCTCTAAAGCTGCTCTTCCTCCTCCTCCTCTCTCTCAGTAGGCTGCTGCATGACCCACACAGCCTCCCCAGTTAGAAACTACAGCATCAGTATGAAATTCTCCCTATGCTTTTTTTCCAGGTTTGCTCCAATTCAACCCTGCTACCCACCCGTACCACTGCTATATTAATTCAATAGATTTTCTACCATGGTCCTGACTTTCTTCCTGCTTCAGAGCTTGATCCCAACAAGATCCTCCGCCAGGTTGATCCAAGTCAAAGGTAACTGACCATGTTGCTTTCCTTTTGTAACAGCCACGAACAACCCCTTTTGTGTGGAAGACAGATCCACAGGCCTGCTCATCAGGTCTCCCTGGGGCCCGGTGCCCACCTGGGTACGCAGCCCTATCTCTCTCCGCTCACTGCCATTCAGGGTGCACAGGAGCAATGACTCCCCTGGAGTCTTCTCTCCCAGACAGACCTTTGCTCGCACATGCCAGCTACTCACAGCATCCCCCTTTCCCTCTCCCTGTGGCTAATCCTCAGCCATGCTATAAGCTCAGCCTCAGATCATCTCCTGTAAAAAGGCTCTTCTGACTTGCACTTTTGTTTTGTCCTTTCCATACCATCATCACCATGTCTACCCTGGCCCCTGAAAATGCTACATTTGGCCAGGCACAGTGGCTCATGCCTATAATCCCAACACTTTGAGAGGCCAAGGCGGAGTTCAAGACTAGCCTGACCAACATGGTGAAACTCTGCCTCTACTAAAAATACAAAAATTAGCCAGGCATGGTGGCACATGCCTGTAATCCCAGCTACTTGGGAGGCTAAGGTAGGAGAATCACTTAAATCCAGGAGGCAGAGGTTGCGGAGAACCTAGAATTCACCACCGCATTCCAGGCTGGGCAACAGAGTGAGACTCCGTCTCAGGAAAAAAAAAAAGTTACACTCACTTTTCTGCCTCTCAACCCTAGGTAGTTCTCTTTCTTTCCTCTGATTTGTCCTAGAAAGAACTGGAGGTGGCCAGTCATGGTGGTTCATGCCTGTAATCTCAGCGCTTTGGGAGGCTGAGGCGGGAGGATCACTTGAGGTCAGGAGTTTAAGATCAGCCTGGCTAACATGGTGAAACCCCATTTCTACTAAACATACAAAAATTAGCCAGGCATGATGGTGGGTGCCTGTAATCCCACATACTCTACAGGCTGAGGCAGGAGAATCGCTTGAACCTGGAAGGCGGAGGTTACAGTGAGCCAAGATCACACCGTGGTACTCCAGTCTGGGTAATAGAGGCCAGATCTTGTCTTAAAAAGAAAAGAAGAAGAAAGAACTGGAAGCAGTACCTCCTCCATCAGAATGAACTCTTTGTGGGAAAGGAGCCACCTCACTTGACGTTGACTTCTCCAGTCCCTAGCACAAGGTGGGACACAAGGTAGGCATTCACAGTTTGTATGTTTAAGACATTTATCACCTTACTCAAATATTACCTAGCTCATCCCGAAAATCCCAACTAAAGTCAATATTAAAAATGAGCTGAGAAGGAGAAGCCAATTTGCTCCAGCAGACGCACAGCCAGTCCTTCTCAAGCCTGTACCTGAGAAAGTCTTCCTGATATTCAGAAACTGTCTAGTTAAAATCCTTTCCAGATAAGCATTCTGAGAAAATAACAGCAGAATGTTTTGTGTGTTGGTTGTTGGCATATAGGTATATCCTAATGTACAACTAAGAAGAGCAGCTCTGACCACATCTCAAAATGTAATACCTTCTGTGCATGAGCCTCTCAAATAATTAAAAAGTTATCATATGACAATGTCCAACATTAGTTTTTAGCCACAAATCAATACACTGATGAAATCACTCATTTTGTTTCATCCAAAATACAACCAGTCTTCCTGTCCATTCTAATGTGCAGTCCCATGGAGTAATGGAGAACAGATCGAACACAAGGCCTTCCAGCACTTGGGCTTGCCAAAGGAGCCCTGGACCCGAGGCGTGTTCTCCTGGAGGCCAGGAGCCGCATGGTCCAACAGCCTGGGGAAAGGAGGCACTTCCCTTCCAACTGGAGAGACTGGGCTAATGAAGTGAACCCAATTATAAAATGGCTCGTTATGTTAACAGAGGTCGTGGTGTCTGGAAATTATTGCTGGGGTGTCTGGAATTCTTAATAAAAATTACAGGAAGTCTGATTGCTTGTGGGAAAATCTATGAAGCTAAGGGAGAAAGAAAGAATTCTATCTTCTGGAAAAACTCCCAGAGCCAAGAGCTGACTCATCTTTACAAGGTGTTAATCAGGAGGGCAAGGTGTGACCTGAACTCTGTTCCCTGGAGCTCTTCTCTCCTGGATGAGAGAGGCCCATTTGGCCATGGCTGTCCCTGGCTGACATACACAGCTTTCATAAGGTTCAATATGGGAACCAGTGGGAAGGATGCCTTTGGTTAACATACTGCATCTCTGGTTTCCAACTTGACCCTTGGAAAAGCATAAAACACATGTGCCTACATTTCAAGCCCTGCTGGTTAATTTTCTATAGCTGAACTTCTTCCTCTATTCCCTTGATATGCTTTGTTTCCTTTATCTGTTACTAGCAGAATGATGTTGAGAAAGTTATTTCAAGCATCCTTAAGTAAAAATGAGGCCAAATGGTCCCCACTTCATGGGTTAGAAGTCAATAGGAATAATGCCTGTGAAGTACTTTAGACGACACTAAGCACACAGTAAGAAGTTCAATAAGTGTTTTAGTATATTTTAGTTATTACTATGATTTTATTTTAACTGTTACTATTATGATTGTCATTGCTCTTATTGTTCTTGGTATCATTGGGGTTACAGAGGTTAAAATCATGGCTCTCCTGCTTACAAGGTGTGAGATTTGGCAAGATATTTAAGCTTTCCATGCCTCAGTTTCTTTAACTATAAAATGGGGGTGACTATAATGTCTCCTTAGTAAGCGAGATAATGCCATAAAGAGCTTTGCACATTGGAGAAACTGACACAAAGGGTCATTGTTACTGGTTCCCTGCACGTTCCTTCTTTCTTGATTTATTGAACATATATCAAGTAGTGCCCTGTACTTGGGTTTCTATATCTCCTCATGTGAAGTAAGAGGCTTAAGAACTGTTTGGAAATAGTCTCTACAGGTGGGATGCCTTTCCTAAAACTGCGAGCTAGCAGTTCTGGACACCTAGGTCTGGCGATTTCCACAAAAGTAAGGTCCACTATCTTTCGGGCCCTCAAAGTTTTCCCTCATCTCCGCCTTTAACGTTCAGTTTATTAGGAACTACAGTTTCCAACACTGATCATGTGGGTTTGGATCAATAAAATGTCCTATCATGCCTCTAGGAACTTAACCCCAATTATAAAAGCCCCAGTGGATAAAGCTGGTGGTCACCATTTGACAGATGGGGAACGAGGGATTTGAGGGACTTGTCCACACCCACCTCATCAATGATGGAGCAAGGAACCTGCAGAGCCGAGCTCTAAACACTGCCTGCCTCTACCTGATGTCCAGGAAAGCCCAGGGGCCCCTCACAGCTGTGGGAAATCAGGCCCTAGCACATCAGGGAGAGTGGTGCTAAGAAAGAAGCCCCTGGAAGTCAATAATCTCTGAATCCTGGCCTCCCTCCAGATGGGGACTCATTAATCTGAGTGGGCCAGAAATGGAGACCAGCTAGCCAGTCTGCTTGGTGCTGGGGAAGGAGGGGGTGGATGTGGTGTTCGTCCCTGTGCAGCCAGTGGAGCCCTTTGTCCAGTGAAGCAACCAGACCTGGTGGGGGCTGCTCTCTGATGCCTCTGGCATGCACATGCTCACGCCTACACTCAGAGCACAGAGCACTCTTGAGCAGTGCTGTGTACCTGGGTTGTGCTCAAGGGCATCCCCCTCCCACTTTTTGATGTGTTTTCCCAAAGAGTCCCCACTAGGAAATAGGAGAGTTTTCTGGATGGGGCGGGGGGGGGGAGCTAAGAACACTCTGGACTATCTTTTTAAAAGGCAAACCAGTCATGTCAGTATCCTGTGTGTATCAGAAAAATTCGATGATCACGTCAAAACTTACAATATCACATTGATTATTTAAACTGAGAGGAGGTAAATAAGGGAAACAGCAAGTCATTATAAATAATAATAAAATAAACCTTTTAAATAACTGTGCAGATGGTACAAAGACAAGCTAACAGGTTGTAATAGTGGTGAGCAAACACATCACTCCAAAGGGAAGCAGAGCTTGAAGCCTGAATTTTGTGATAATAAGGCTCTGGGTGTCTCTGTGGCTCTGACTTCAGTAATTAGGTCATGCATTACCTTGTATTTGGGGATGGTCTTCAGAAGTTCTTTCACTGGGACATCTGTGCCAACCACTCCCAGGAGAATGCCCTTCGATCTCTGTTGAAAGTAAACATTGGATTATAATAACAGTAAGTTAACTAGGCAAAAGAAACAGAATTTCATGAGAAGTCACGTATTGTGGATCACTGCCTGGTGCCTTCCCCAAATGATAGAGATTGAGGATGAACCCAGATCTCCAAGAACAGTCTCTTCTATCCCCCACCTTCCACCCAAAATGTTACTGGGTAAAGTAAGAGTTTCTCAGGCCAACCATTAACTACTACAGTCCCCAACGCACACTCATAGCAAGACACTATAATCACCTCCCTCTTCTCCCCTGAAAATTAAACAGTGATTTGAAGAAACACAATAGTTTCTACAGCTAAGGGCTCTAAACATTCACCAGTTTCTCTTATGAAAGCTTTTTACAGAAAAGACAGCACGTTAACTGCTTTCTCAATTTACACTGCCATCTGGTTCCCAGGAGAGAGAGACTACGTAGCCAGAGAAAGATGTAATAACCCTGATACTTTTACCAACCGAGGACCAAGGTGGAGGAATAGGCCTCCAGAGCATCAATTTCCAAGGCAGGTGGCCACTGCGATTTGCTAAAACTTTCCAATGTCAGAAAGGCTTAAGGCTTGTGGTGGGTTGAAAAGTGTCTCCCCAAGTTCATGTCCACCCAGACCCTCAGAATGTAATGCCTCTTGGAAATAACATATTTCTAGATGTAATTGTTAAGGATCTTGAGATAAAATCACCCTGGTTTTTGGGTGGACCCTAAATCCCATGACTGGCTTCCTTATAAGAGGGAAGGACACAGAGAGACATATAAGCGGAACAGGCCAAGTGAAAACAGAGGTGGAGATTGGCGTCACACTGCCACAAGCCAAGGAAAGCCTGGGGCTCCGAGAAGCTGAAAGAGGCAAAGAGAAATTCTTCCCTAGAACCTTCGGAGGGAGCATGGCCCTGCCGACATCTTGATTTCAGACTTCCAGGCTCTAGAACTGTCAGAGGAGAAATTTAATTTTTTTAAGATAGAAATTTGTGGCACTTCATTCCCAACAGCCCTGGGAAACTAATAAAAGGCTGGTAACTATAAATGGGAGTGGTCAGCGCACCATCATCAAGGATGGTCTCTGGGGCTTTTCCTCCTCTGGTCCTCTAATACCTAAACTTTGGAAAGGTGCCATAAATGCTAAAATGATGCCAGCTTGGGTTCCTCTCATCTGTTTTTGATTTGGTGATTCTAACAGCAAGATCAAACACTAAGGAAAAATGACATACATCCTATGCTTAAAAAACAAGTCACCAGAGCTGGAGTCAGAGGGGATCTGAGAAAACCACCTCCTAGCATCAAGCAGGAAGCGTAGCCACTGTACTCACGGTTTCGTTCTGCTTACTAAACACAGGCATGGCTACAGTGGTCATCAGGACGAGGCCCTGATCATCAGTCAGCTGGATGGGAGAGAAAAGCCAGTTACTGGAGAACAATCTGGAAACCACAGTTCAGGAGGCCACCCCCTTGACAACCATGTCCTTTCCAGAACAGGGGCTGTTGAGACAGACCAGTGCCTGCCCAAGCCTTTAGTGGAGGAGGGAGCACAAAGGGATTCCACCTGGATTTTCAGAGGACAGTCCCAGCTCCCTGCTAGGGAAATAAAATCAGCTGTCCTCAGTCACTCCAGATATCTGTTCTCTGCTTTCAGTCACTTTGGTTCAAATAGAACCTTGTTTGGATCTTCCTGACTCATTTTATTTTATTAGCACAGGTTTATTTTACTGTTTTACCTCACAGACATTTACGTTTCTTAAGAGTGCTTCTCTTTAATCTAAATATTGAGGATCAGAAAGCATGCACAGAAGGGGTCTGGTGAGTTGCCCCTGCTAAAAATGACAGAATCTGAAGCATTTATTTCCCCCAAGTTAACCGGTTGAGGCCCTTTTTCCTCTCTGGGTCTCTGAATGCCAGTTTCAGATGGAAAATAAATTAAAAAAAAAAAACAAAATTAAAACAGAAAAACTTTTATCATCTGACTTCTAAAATCATCAGGAAGAAGGTAATCATTTCTCTTATAAGAACGGCTCTTGGAATATAGCATGTGATCCACCTCTGTAAACCTCTGAATTGGGTTACAGGCACATGGAGACACATCATTGTACCTGCTTCTCACATAGTGTGGGGAGACAGGCAGGAGCCCCTTCTCTGACCCAAACAAATAGGGAAATTGGAACAAATAGGGTCTTGGAACATGGTAGGTAGGCTTTGGCCCAATACAAATCTGATTCAAAATCTCACCTTTGAATCTTTCCCAACTGCGCTAGTGAAGTCTCCACATACTCATATGAAATAATGCCCACTATTTCCCAGCAGTGTTGCCATGAAGATAAAATAGAAGAATGCCCAGCATGGTACCTGGCATATGGTAATGCTCAAAGGATGCCAGCTTCTTTTTTATGCCTTCAAGGTTACACAGCTAGTAAGTAGCAGAGCCCAAAATGAGATTAAGGCTGGAGGCACTGCTGATAGGCACCAAAATTGACCAGGCAAGTCCTTCTGGCTTCACAGCCTGTTCAAGTCCCAAGTAAAGGGATCTACGAACTAGAATCCACTACCTTCAATCTAGGGTTGTCCTCTGATGTCTGGACACTTCTCTTCCATAGCTTTAGTTCCATAGAATAATCAGGTATTGCTCCTTCAGTCTACTTGGGGTTATAAAGAGTTATAAGAGGCATTATAAAGAGTAGATCCTGAAACTAAGTGTTTGAAGCCCCCATTGACTGGCTGGTCTCTCGAGTAAAAGTCATTAAATTTAGTCTATCTTTTGCCTTGTTCTTCTAATAGATTATTAGAGCTGTGGGGTGTCACTACTTATAATGTGGTACATAGGACAGCAGCATCTGCAGCACCCAAGTCCTTATTAGTCTCAGGCCCCATTCCAGACCCTCTGAATATGAATAATTATTTTAAAGATTAGCATGTATATTAAAATGCAAGAAGCTTTGGAAGAAGGCAATCCTTTCCACTTCACTTCCATCAATAATCATGAGAGCTCAGGAGAAGCTGGCAGGTATTTGGAAAAAAACTCCCAACAGGAATGGAGGGGCCAGGTTTTTATTAGTTTTTCATGAATATCAAGATAGCCCTATAGTCTTCCACATCAAGTAAAATGAGGCAAGAATCTCCTGGTCTATCTAGGACTGGGAACGCACAGTGACATGGTTAATTTTATGTGTCAATTTGGCTAGGCCATCATGCTTAGTTATCTGAGCAACTACCAGTCCAGATGTTGCTGGAAAGGTGTTTTTTAGTTACGACTAACAGTATAATCAGTAGACTCTGAGTAAAGCAGATTATCCTCCATAATGTGGGTGGGTCTCATCCAATCCATTGAAGGGCTTAAGAGAAAAGACAGGTCCCCCTCCCTCAAAAGAAGGAATTCTGCCTGTAGACTGCTTTCAAACACAAGCCTGCAACATCAACTCTTGCTAGACTTTCCAGCCTGCCCTATAGATTTCAGACTTGCCAGCCCCACAACTGTGTAACCCAATTCCTTAAAGTAAATTCCTCCCCACCCTATCTGTATAGCCTATCTCTACCTCTACAGGCTGTCTCTAGAGAATCACACCAATAATATACATGGTAATCATGATTATTTTAGACATCTTAATTTGGGTGTAAGAATATGTAAACAAATTTAATTCATCAATATAATAACCAAAAAATATTAACTATGAGATGATGCTGACAGCCAGTGTTGCCAAGAGCCAAGTCAGCCAGGATATACAGTATATAACAGTTTTTTGGAAACATGGTTCTAACATCTTGCTTAAAATACTCAAAGCACGCTACTGCGACCACTGGAAAGCTACAAGGCCATTTTCAAAGGCAGAACCAGCCCATGGTAAACAGTTCTCTTACATTTGAAAGTCTTCCCATATTGTTACTCCTTGATTAATCGTTAATGCTATAAAGAAAACTGATTTGAGCTGATCCATAACCTGGACAACTTCCACTTTGCAACTCAAATCAAATTTCAAGCAATGCCAACATGTATCATGGATGAATTCAAAACATACCATTGACAATAATGAGAAATGAAGCCTTTTTCCTGCAACCAGTAAAAATCAGTTATAAATCACTAGTAATTGTGCTGGCACAAACACAAGATCATGAGAAACTAACTTTAAAATATTAAGCCAGAATATAGTATCAACTTCACTCAGGAGCTAATTCCAAATGTAATTACTGCATCATTACTTTAAAAAAGAAACCCATAATATTGCATTTGTACTGAAACCATTCATTTGTAACCAGCCCCAGGTAAACAAAGGAAATGCAGTGAGTTCAGTCTGGCAACTGTTCACATGTGGGCCTATGATCTCACGTACCTCTCCTAGGGGCAGTTCTGGCCCAAATTTGAACTGGCTTGGCCAGAACACTAACCCGTAGGCTTTCCCATGTATACCAGTTCATCATTATGGCAACAAGAGCTGGCAGGAACACAGAAATACCATTTGCACAAAATTAAGACTCTCTTCTGTACCCACCAGCCCCATCATTCCCAGTCCTCACAGGTCTGGACTCCGTGAATCTTAACTACTTCATGGAGAAGGCACATCAATTTGCAAGTTCATTTGCACTGCAAGCACTTTATGGCTGAAAGACATTCTGTACTCTTGCCATAGGAAATAGCAGTCAGTGGCAAGTTTTGTTTTGTTTTGTTTTTCCAGACCACCAAGCAGAATAACTTCTATGGCCAGAAACCCTCTGTCCCCCAACACGCTAGGGATCCCTGCTTTTCTGTGGCCCCCCAACCTGTAGCTGCTACTGAGGCAAGAGTGCTGCTTATGATTCATACATGTGGCCTCCAAGAAAAACGCAGACGTAGAGTCAACATTCATTTTCCAAGGGGTAGGAGCAGGAGATGAGGGTCATCATGGTCCATCTGGGCAAAATCCCATTAACTTAAGTCCAAGTGGGAATCTTAAAATGAACTGCTGTGCAATTACACTTGCCCAGGCTTTGAGCAGGCCTCTGAAATCTGTGGTTGTGGTGCTCTGTTGTATAATAAGTGTATATTATTCCATATCCTTCATTTCCCATGCTACATAATGGGGACCATTCTGGTATCAAAGGAAATGATGAATAATAATACTGAACATCTGGTTTATAAAACACCAAGTTGCTCAACAGATTGACTGCTTCCTGTCAGCTTCCCAAGTTAATCATGCATGTCAGCTTATATGAATATGCATTGGAACTCATGTGCAAGGTCCATGCAGCCATGCCAGGCCTACTTCTTAATGCTTTATTAGTTTCCCACCAATGGCACCAGTTGGCAACATGGCCAGCCCTAGGGTGTGACCCCAGAGAGCATAACAGCACGAGACTTGTGGTCCATCCATTTTGCTGCTGACCTAGTCAACTACTCATTGATTTCCTTAATAAACACTCCTTGAGCATCAGCTATGTGCCACGTGCTGGGAAGACAACTAGGAATAAGGCACGGGTCTTATCCCCAAGGAGCCTCAAGTTCACTAGGGGAGAAAGAAAACCTAACGTGGCAGAGGAGGAGACATGGCCAAGGATGGCATGCTGGCTTTCATTTGGTGAGCTGGCTCTCTTCTCCAGGTCTGGCATGAACTATAGTGAAAATGCCTGGTGTTTATCAGTATCTGTCAGGTCTATATGACAGATTCAGAATGCTTCCTGAAAGCCAGTCTAGCAAAAGCAGGAGAAGTAGTCTGCCACAGAGTAAGCTCTTTCCATTACTTTATACTTGAGGATACTGGTAAATGGAACAATGCAGGGGTAGACATCTTTTAAATTGTCTGGCACCTTTCTTTTCATTCTTCTGCAGGTATCACCCCCTTCCTTTAGGAAAGTCCTCTTCACCCCCTTCAACCACAAGGTTTCTTAGCAGTCAAGCTCTCCCATCCTGAGGGTGGGGATGGACATCCAACCCAGGCTGTGCTAACCAGAGCACTTCATGCACACAAGTATGCATGCACATACCTGCCTGGGCTGCACAGGTTGGTTTATTAATTAGGCACATGGTTCATGCTAGGCTAACTGAGATTTTTTTTCTTTTTCCAACCTGGAGCAAGTGGGAAAGACTCCCTACTCTCCTTTGGGGATGGCTATAAGAATTTAAGTTTGACAGCCGTGTCCCCTTGCCACAGAGAAACGATGAGACTGAAAAAAATAAAATAAACCCACAAAGAGGAGAGAAGAGTGTGTGTGTGTGTGTGTGTGTGTGTGCGCGTGCACACACATGCGCATATGATGGAGAAGAGGGAGAGAAAGATGGAGGGAGGAAATAAAAGAGGCAAAGACTGGGAGGCTACCAATCCCTGGAGGCCTTCCTTCCCAAGATCAATTCCATCAATGCACTTTTCCATTATTGGGCTGCTTGAGCCAGTGTTTTCTCTTTTAGTTCCAATGAGCATGAAAT